TTAACCTCCATTTCCCAATATGTTTTCATGGTGTTGTGATTAATTAAGCACAAGGGCAGCTATACTTTCACCTTTTACGTCACACGTATGCCGAGCAAGGGATCTTTAAATCATGGCTTCCCTGTCTGTAGTCGCTGTACCGCCTGAAGGGTCGTTGCTTAGCAACCGTGGTGCGGCGTGCATTTATAATGCAACTGCAGTAGAAACTGAAGGCGTTACGGGTCCGAGAAAGTGACCTGCGTAGAGATGCAGGCTGTGCTTGCTGGAAGCAGTAACTAGTCGTGTTCTGGAACGATCTTGGCCCACATTCCAGAACAGTGTAACGCGAAACGCGAGAGGTGGGGGAAGTGGCCCCCCGTCCTAACCACGTGTCTCCTTGTACACGAATGGAAAATGCGATGCGAAATATGATTGTTTATGGTGACGTCATATGTGTGTGTGGCAAAGAGTGAAATATTATCTTATCTAAAGCGGTGATTTTCGACGTTTTGTATCGTGCGCCATACCAGACTTTTTGCAAAACATTGTACTCCCACCGTAATAAAAATGAAGCTTTTTCGAGAAATTTATTTTTACATTTATGTACTCTCCTTGTTTTCAGAGTTGGTCGTTTTCAACAGAGAGCTTGGCCGAGTCCACTAACCTATTACAGCCCAGGAGTTACTGTATTAACTGCCTGTTTTAATAAGTTAAACTCTGCGCTTTGCCCCCAAAGAGTATTTTTATATTCCATATGGTTCTCACAACAAACAGCGACTATTTCCCTAAACAACCTTAACCGGTTGGGCTTTGTAGCAGAGATGTACTGTTTCTTGTGAGGCACGGACTGAGTTTTCTGCCCACAGAGTGCATTTGTGTGTTCCGTATGGTTCTCACAATAAACAGCGACTGTTTCCCTAAACAGCATTAACCGGTTGGGCCTTGTAGTGGACACGTAATGTGTTTCCTGTGAGGCACGGGCTGAACTGTATATTTTATTTCGAATAAATTCAGTCATTGAAAGATTAACTGATAAAGAATTATAGGTTATGTATGAGTTGTAATGCGGTCTTGGTTAGTGTGTGTTAGTGTGTCTCACAATGTAGCGCACTCACTGCCCGCTACATCACACGCAACTCAGAGACCAGGTCAAAAAGCAAGGCCCGTTTATTTTACTGTTACATGAATCATTAAAAGATCTTATTTTCTAGGCTTAATGTCTTGACCAGCCACAAATTCAGAAGAATATGCTTTTGATCTTGAGGTATGTGGTCGGTCGATTAAATTGAGGCTGGCCTTCGTCAGCGTATTAAATCTTGGTTTCGGGTCCCGTCAGGATCCATTATCATATTTTCGTCTTTTTAAAGTCTCGCATGTTTTCAAATGGGGCCTCCTCTTCGATAAGAGGTCACTCCCCTCTACTTAGGGCGCCTCTAGAAGGCGCTCAATGACTTGGGGTAATTTAATGTAACCTCCTAGGTTTTATGATATTTACTTCTGGATTATAAAGCATTGTAATTCGTTAGCTCGCCAACGTTTCGGAGAAAAGTAGTGCCTTAGATTTCAGGGTTAAGAGTAAGCGAAGGAAATGACAACCAGAGCGAGTCCTTGCTCATCACAGGCGCGGTCTGTTTTCGCTTCTGCTTGCTTCCCTGACTCCTTCTGCGGCCCTGAAAATGACTTCGTTCTTCCTATGGGACCAAATCACCGGACCCAAGGATGCAATACTCTTCGTTCGAAATCATGTAATTGTTTTTAGATAGGCCGTGCCATAAGTCAGGCGGCTAGTCGCTGGCTTCATACCGCGGGGGCCCGGGTTCGAGTCCAGGTCATTTGGGATTTGTGGTAGACAAAGTGGCACTGGGACAGGTTTTGTCTGAGTACTCCGGTTTCCCATGCCAATTCTGAATCCACTGACTGCTCCATCATCATCTGTCATCTGGGGCTGGTACACTAGGCCAGTTAGTGGCCGACGTACCGAGTGGACTCAGTCTCATTCCAGCGCAAGAAACTAAAAAACTAACTTTAGGAAAGTCTATAGGCTTGATAAGAGCAGGATTTTCAGGAGAATATAAGAACAGACTGCTTATAAGGGCCTACTTAAGCGTTAAGTGAAATGGCGGTAGAGTGAAAGGCGTGCTGAAAGATGTGAATTACGGACACGGAATAGCAATGTTGGTGTAGAGATGAACGGAGTGTTGGGTCATAATTAAGAGATGTGGAAGTTATTTCTTGGAACTTAACTGCAGTGCAGAGCAATGAATTGGTTATTTAAAAATAAACTAATTTATCTTGAGATAATTTTGTTTGTATCAAAGAAACATATGCCGAACTAACAATACAGGTCAAAGTGTCATGATTAAACAATTCTTTCCCATCTAGCGCAAGTCAGATGGAAATCTGCTCCAGTTTCAACCGTCTCATTTCTTCATTCACGGCTTCTTGATGGTCGTTTGATAATCCTTGAGACTTTCATAAATTATATTCTCTTTAAAATATGATTTTTTGCTTCCAATGTATTTTTTTATTTTTTCTAGTTATCTCCTTTTCCTGCTCATTTGAAGATTTAAATTCACATAAATAAAAAGGTAAAATTTTCTCTGGGCTTAATTAATTAATAACCACACCATAAAGACGTATGGTGGTAGTGGAGGTATAGCTCCATCACTCTTGACATCGGCACTAAATGGAGTAGTCAGTTTCATGAAGAATGCCGTTTTCTGGGATGTGTCGCCGTGTAGATATTTTGTTAACCGACGTTTCGGAGGTGATACCTTCATCCGAAACGTCGATTAACAAAATATATAAACGGCGCCACATCCCAGAAGACTGCATCCTTCATAGTCACCGCCGTGGAAATCTCAAACCTTACACAGTTTCATGCCAGCTGTTTTAAACCCCTGGGTAGTAGCCCGCGGTACCAATTGTATAGGAGGCACATTGGGCCCCAGAACCGGTTTGGACTCCATGGAGTATAGAAATCTGTCTTGTCTCTGCCTGGAATCGAACCTTGGACGGTTTAATCCGTATTCCGTCGCCATATCGCCTGAGCTATTGTCTAAACTAACTAACTAATTAATGGAGCTGAGCCCTTCTTCAGAAGCTGCCAATTTTGCCGCTACTCAAGAACTTTCCAGCATTTTATGGAACCTGAAGGTTCATTACCGTGTTAACAAGAGCTTTCCACTGGTACCTATCCTGGGCCAGATCAATCCACTCCTACTACCTCATCCTAAAACCCGTTTTAATTTTATTCACCCATCTACATCTTCCTAGATGTCTCTGTCCTTCTGGCCTTTTCCCACTTTCTTCTTTGGGCCGCCCCATAGCTCAAGCGCTTAGTCGCTGGCTTCCCATCTCGGCGGCCCGGGTGGCGCTGGGGCAGGTTTTCTCTGAGTACTTCGGTTTCCCCTGCCAATCTTCATTCCCCCAATTGCTCCACAATCACCCTCACCTATCATCTGGGGCTGGTACAATAGGCCAGAAGTGGCTGCAGTACAAGGGACTCAGTCCCACCCCACTAGCAATAATAAAAAAAATACTTTCTTCTTTCATGCTACATGCCATGCCCATCGCATCCACCTTGACTTGATCATTCTACCTATACTTGGCTCCTCATTATCGCCTGAATAACAACTGAAAAGTAGTGTTTACATGTCTTAACTAATTTGGGCAGATTAATGTAGCGGTATCGCTGTAGAATTATGTTCGGTAGATGCTTGATTCGAACCTGGGCCGAGACACGGTCTAGCTGGTTGAGGTTTTCCGTCCCTGCAGAAAGTGTTGGTAGGCAACGACCACTTCCTTCCATGTCTTCTCCAATCCATTATTCAGTAGGCGTGCTATCATCCTGGACTGTACTGTGCGGGGATGTTGGCAGGGTCGCGACATGAACTGAACGAAGTCAATCCACTGGCATACCGTTTCAATAAGCATCTATCCTTGTAACAGGCCTTGGAGGCCCATGGGTTTTTGAGACGTCGAGGCTCACACATTTTCTAGACAATCGGCTCATAGACGGCGGTAAGGTTCTCAGCCTTACGCGCCGGCCTTCCTTTACCCCCCAGGAAGATTCCTGGTACTCATTTAGAGACTGAATCGACCCCAAGGCCATAATGCGGCCGGAAGGATTAGGTCAACTGAAAAAATCTAGTTATCTCATCGGGACTAGAGCTCGCGATCTTCCGGTTTGTAGCATAGTGCCCCCCTCTCTGGAATGCTCTACTGTTGTAAGGTTTCTTCCTGACCATGTTCCTCGTCTTGTCGGTTCCTCTTGGTGAAATCGTGAGCAGTAGAACCAGACTAACTGCCAGTCAGACGGTCCACGTTTATTTCCATTCACGATCAATAATAATGAGTGACTGTGAAGTTTATGTATTCCTGGCACAACTTCCAAGTTACAGGGATATTGAAGCCAACTTTCTACCTTAACTGCTTCATGTGCATTGGAGCAGTAAATGCCAGACTGAATTGCATGTGTGTGTGGGGCTTGGATGATAACATAATTATAAAAATATAAAAATATGCTAAAATGGCTTGTTACCATGTTTCTCGCTCGCTTCTTTCTTGGCTTAATCTTCAGTTATGAAGATCGGTAAAATATTCCTCCGTAACGTCGGTTGACTTTCTACAGAACTACACGGCATTATGTACCGGAAGTTATAAATATTATATTTATTTTTCTTCTAAGAACAAGCGTTATGAAATGAATCATATTCAATAAAATTACGCCCGTACAAAGTAATTATGGAAAACTATAAGTCTGCTGTTTTCTGGGACGTGACACCATGTAGTTCAGAGCAACGTCTTGTCTCCATCATCATGGTAAAAGAATAAGTCAGTCAACTAGCAAGGAATTAGCAGCTAGCAGAGTTAGTGATCCTGAACGTGGAGGCGATAAATTCCTCTGAAACATCAGTAAACCTCTACCAGACTACATGGCGTCACATCCCAGAGGATAGAGCTGTTGGAATGAGGACTTGTTCATAGACATAACAGCTGGATATTCGTGTTTGTTTCAGAGTTCGCATCACGAGAACAATGGGGGAAACAGTAAATGTAAGAAGAGTTGGGGAGACCGTCTCAGACTGGGTAAGAGCGAGAAGAGTCTGGAACAGCAGCCCCCTGACACCCCCACTTCTGACCTGCTTCAGGAGTACCGCAACAAGTACGGGTCCCTCTCCTCGGGCAGTGCCCTCTCTAGATCAATGAAGTACGCAGAAACTTGGCTTTACGGGTCCGTCGCAGTCCGCTCACCCTCCAACGGCCCCACTCCTCGCCCCAGTCTCTTCCTGTGTCATCCCCCGCCTAATGTAGCAGTCATCCCTGGGGCACAAGGCGTCGTCATGCCCCCTGGGACAAATTATGCGGTAGTGATGTGCTCCTGTCCAGAGTTCCTGACGGGAACTGCCAGAAGCAAGAAGAGTTCCTCGGTAGTGTGCAGGAAGTGCGGTGGTTCCAGGATGTTGTGGAAAGTCAGCAATGGCGGAGGGACTGTTAGAGCATCTGGAGGCACTCTTATGAAATCAGGGGGTACTGTAAGAGGACTTGGCGGCACCTTAAGGCTGGGGGGTGGGAGCAGTGGACAGAACCGCATCAGACCTGCATTATTAAACCTCACACCAGTTCCTCAATCAACACAGAAACCTCAGTCTGCTCCACAAAAATTGAAAGCGATCACGCCTGACCCTTATGACCTCATGAGAAGGAACCGTCTAGGAGGTGTGAACTCTAACGAGGACTCCTTGCATTTCGGCCCACTGGAACCTTCACGGATCAGAGCTAAAAGCACGTCTCCGTCCCGAAGGAATTCCCGTCGGAGTCCATCCCCCACGCTGACCAGGAGTGCATTAGAGCATGCGCGTTCTGAGATCAGCACACTCAGCACTCAGAGAGGTCTGTCATGGGAAAGTGAGCGTGCGAATTGGAACGCTGTCGTAGAACCATCAGACAGCGTCAAACGGAAGTCAATACTGGAGTGTGATGTGAACGCGTATGAACTGATAGCGAAATATTTAAAAAATGGGAATAAATGTGAAGCAAACGGTGATACAAACAGCGCGGTGGTCCCTGAGTGCGGCAGATCAGATCGTGTTTCAAGTGATGATGATGTACTGGACGATGAACTAAGCGATGATCTAAGTGACAATGCTCTTGAAAATTCTCCTGTCGGGATAAGTGATATTACAGGACCACGTACCCGAAAACCCCCTGTACAAAACACAGTTTCTTTTAGTTCCAAGACTGATGTTAATAGCAGACACAAAGATTCAAACAATGCGAAACAACAGACATCTGCTAGGATATCGCGTGTCGAAACACGGCAGAACAAATCCATTTCGACGCCATCGATGCCCATAGGCGTGACTTTGGGAGGTCAGAGAATTAGAATATTCAACGAAACTCGACCTTCAGCATCATCTGAAGAAGATAACATTAACAGTGAAGCAAGTACTGTCCATAACAGCGAGAATAACGAATTCGATACTGGGACCTCCCGACAGCAGGTCTCCAGGAATTCCGCTATAACATCGTCACTTATTCCTCGTCTTACTTCACCACGACGACCGCCAAGAAAAACGAAGAACTCGTCAGAGCGTTCAAGTGACTGCAGCCGAAACGTCGATGTGTTGATACAAGAAGCGGAAGAGGAGGAAGAAAACGAGAGTGCTGGTGTTGTCAACAACACGGAGACTACTGAAACCAGTCCATTGCAGCTAAAGGATGGAAGATTCTCAACGGGAACGGAGGGGGGCTGCATAATTAAGTCGATTCTAAAGAAGCCTTCTTGTTCTTTGCCTGGAGAGATTTCAACTAGTCCGAGGACTTTCAGTGACACCGTTTCCAAACCGGACTACACAGTATGTACTGCCGCTGTGAATTCTGCACCGTCAGGCCAACAACACTCACCTTCACCTGTAGATCCTAGCCCAGGTTCAACTGACTTTTACTTGCCTACGTTTCAAGAGTACAAGCAGACGCACAGAAAGAAGAAACAGGTGCAGTTTAAAGTTGTCAACGACGTCACTGTGTTGAAACCAACAGAAGAAGATGGTAAATTAGATGGGCATGTCACAACCACAGGTACCACGACCTCTGTCACGAATCCTCTTACCACTGCTACAGTGATCACAACTTATGCCTCACAAGTTACAGAAGGCAAGGCCGACGTAAACGAAACAGACAACAGATTATTATCAGTTAGAACAGATGAATGGACACGAAGTGATAAACAAGAGACAGAAACTGAGAAACAAGAAAGGAGGAATGAAGACACGTTTGTAAAACACGAAGAGAATCAGTTGAATTTCCAGAAAGAAGAAGCCGCAATTTCTTCTGATGTCAGAGAAAAGTATAAGGCCCCAATTTGTGATCAGGATGAGCTCAAAAGTCTCGTTACTGATAATGTGAAGCCCGGTGTCGCGGAGGAGAAGGAAGATATTTTTAGTGATGAAAGTGTCAATTTACAGTATTTTGGTGTAGGTGATGTTGAAGTGGTGACTAGTGCGCATGTGTCAAGTGGTAAGACTGCATCGCGAAGTGGTGCAGAAAGGGACAAGGATGCTGCTCATGATCGCAGTTCACCTGATGTTAGGCCTGCTGTTTTGGGTGCAAACAGTGGCAGCACTGAAACTACATCTGGTGAGTACTTACCTAAATATTATGTTCATTATTGTATTTATTTTGTTTCGCAATATGCCCCTAAACATGATATTATTTATGAAGGGTTTAATCATTAAACTTTAATGTATTGTAAAATAGAACGAATTTTTGAAATTATTGCTCATATCTATCTATCCAACTATCTACCTACCTATCTACATACCTACCTGTATATCTACCTACCTATCTACCTACCCACTATCTACCTATCTACCTATCTATTGACCTACCTACCTATCTATCTACCTTTCTACCTACCTATCTATCTAACTACCTATTTACCTACCTATCTACCGACCTACCTACCTATCTACCTACCTATCTATCTATCTAACGTTTTAAAAATGGGGGGGGGCATCTGTTTTCTTGTCCCGTTCCCCTCCGACACCAACATCATCATCAGTTCTTTGTTTACTGTGTAAAGATATCCAGTCTATTTCAATAAGTAACTTTGAAGATGTAGGAGAAAACAAGAGGTTAGTATTAAAACAGATCTTAAATAAATCACTCACTCATGGAGCTGAGCCCTTTTTGAGAAGCCTCCAGTTGTGCAGCTACTCAAGAACTTCCCAGCATTTTATGCAACTCGAAGGTTCATTACCGTGTTCACAAGAGCCCTCCACTGGTCTCTATCATGAACCAGATCAATCCAATCCATGTCATCCCAGCCTATCTCTCTAAGATCCATTTTAATATTGTTCACCCACCTACGTCTTCGTCTTCCCAGTGGTCTCTTTTCTCATGGTTTTCACACCAATTTCTTCTGATACTGCCCTGAGCGAACCTGCCGTATAAATACTTCTAACATTCCAAGCACCAAATCTCATATCCATTTTCTTTCGCTAAGCACGTTTATCCAAGGAATCCGTCCAGGTCCGAGGTTTCTTGAGATCTTTCGTAACAAGCTTATTTTTTTACAGTGATGAGCTGTTAGCCCCACGCCCAATTCCCAAGCCGGAGGACCACCCCTTGTCGGCTGTCCGCGACTGGTTATTCAGTATATTCGCAGTTACCCTCCATATCTGGAAGCCGTCTCCTCCCTCCGCTACCTGAGAGCGCGCCATGCCGTGGTGACAAGGGACCCGCCTAACATGGCATCTTGAATAAACAGAATGAACTGGGATTCCTGTGAACACTAATGAACATACGAATTTCACAGAACGTCTTTATTAAATGAGAAAATATTAGCACCTCAAAATGTACTCTCTTCAGGGAGATTAATTAGTTCCTTAATTGATTCTGTCTCGGTTGAAATGTATTGATGTTTCCTGATTCTCACCAATCCGCGTAGAAAATATAAAAGATATTTTGCAAAGTTCCACAACGGCTTCCTTGCAGCTCTCAGGGATTCAACTCATCTTTATTTTCGCAGTTCGTAGCCCACCGTGTGGCAACTGCATGTATCATGTGGCTCAGTCCACACTGGGATCGCATGGAGCTTTGCTTCTGGTAGTGAAATTCGGTTATCATTTCTCTAAAGTTTAATGTCCTCTAATTATGCTGCTAGTCTTGTAGAGAAAGCGGGGACATTTAGAAGCTGCTGGATTATAAATCACTAGGTATGAATGTGACCTTATTTATAGGTAACATTATAGAATATGATTATGGAACTGAGAAAAATACCGTCATACTTCAGTAAGAGATATTAGGTCGAGGAAACTGAACTATTGATTCAAAGAGTGAAAAATACAAACGGTACCTAATCTGAGTCTCGATAGCTTGGTCGGTATAGCTAAGAGTCACGGGCTCGAACATTCGGGTTCGATTCCCGGCTTTGTAAGATTTTTCTCTTCTCCACAGAATCCAGACCGACTCTGGGACCCTCCTATCCAATGGGTAACGGGTGCTGTTTCCTCGGGGTTAAAGCGGGGAAGGGGCGTGAACCTGACCATTCATCTCCACCTAGTTCCTAAGTCGAGAGTGGTGGAGCTATACCTCCACTCACCCATATGTTTTCATGGTATAGTGCTTAGCTAATTAAGCACAGAGGCAACTTTAAAAAACCTTATCCATCTGTATGTAACCGTTTGTTTGTCGTTAGGCCGTTTCCATGAAACCAAATGCAAAACTGATCTCACTAAATTACAATAGCCGTAGAAGATGCCTTTGTTTCAGTCGGTATTACAGTGTGCACCTTCTCCGAGGGAGGTGTTGCAGACTGTTATTCCATCAGGCTGTGTTTCAACACCTGATCACGGTGGCCGCGCAGTCCAATGCATGAACTGTCTTCGCTGCTCGAACACTGGGATTTTTTTTTTCTGTGGCGCTACCTCCATGAAACTCTTCCGTTTCACTTCGGTTTACTAGATCTTACACATTCGGTAGGACTCCTTGGGCGAGTGGTCAGCTCGTCGCAAAGCCTCTACCTGTAGACAAACACAGAAAAACGCACACAAACATCCATGCCCTGAGTGGGATTCGAACCCACGATCTCGGTTTCCGAACGAGCGAAGACAGTGCATGCCTTAGACCTCTCGGCTACCGTGACCAGCCGAACACTGAGATAGTGAGTTCGAATCCCACTCGAGGCATTGATATGTGTTTGTGTTTATTCTGTCTTTATCCTATCCTTTGTGTAGTTAGCGGCCTTGCAACCAGCTGATCCCCCATCGAAGGAGTTCTGTGTATCACTCACTCAATCACTCATGGAGCTGAGCCCTTCTTGAGAAGCCGCCAATTGTGCAGTTACTCGAGAACTTTCCAGCATTTTATGGAACCCGAAGGTTCATTACCGTGTTAACAAGAGCCCTCCACTTGTCCCTACCCTAAGCCAGATCTATCCAATCCGTATCATCTCATCCTATCCCTCTAAGATCCATTTTAATATTGTTCACCCACCTACGCTTAATGACTGTGTAAAGGATTACTCCTATACTATACCGACCGAGCGACCGCCGCTTGTGGGCGAAATTAGTGCCAACTTTAGCGGATAGAGGGTGTCGTGTGGTCAGCGCAACGAATTCCCACGCCCCTTGATTTCAGTTTTCTACACCGGAGCCACTACTTTTCCATTCAAGTAGCTCCTCAGTTATCCTCATGAGGCTGAGTGGACCCCGTTCCAGACCCACTACTTCTCAGAAAATCTGGCAGTACTGGGAATCGAACCCGGGACCTCTGGATCTGTAATCAGGAACTCTGACCACTATACCACAGAGGCGGCCGTGTATAGGCTCGCGAAACTGAAAAAGACCACGGCCAAATGAAGGGCTATAGAATTAATGATGAGTGAATGAATACGTTTCCAAAATTCGTAAGACTAATCAGTTTACGGTGCTTAAAGTAATTACCGCTGTTCTTTTCTATAAATCATGTGAAGCACATAGATAAACATGCAAAGCTATGTAATGTTAAAGTAGGTGGTGCATACAGTAAGCATTATGCTTTGATCTGCTGAGCATTCACTCAATGTTAGCTTAAAGGTACGGTTCCATGTGCCATGTCATTCCATGAAACAAACGTAGGACTGTGTCTGGAATAATTCACGGCGCAAGAACACAGCAGACTCTCAGAATGAAGTTTCGTTATGAAAGAGAAACTGCAATTGAATTCTTGATTTGTATGAGTTTCACTTTCTAGATTCCAGCAGGAAAGTTAAATTAAATTCGGAATATTTCACCGTTTTGTATACGTCTGGTAATCCTACGAATTTAAATTAATTTAATAAAGAAGTCGGGAAATGTATTTATATTGTAACTGTTCTGGTGCATTATCTATAGCTCCCTCGAAGTTTCTTGCTTTACGAGATGACAAACCATAAACCGTATGAAGAAAGTAGTCTTCTGGGATGTGGCACCGTGTAGATGTGGTGTTAACCGAAGTTTCGGAGGAACGTATCGCCTCCATATTCAGGGTAGAAGGAAAAATAAGAAAATCCGCAAATCTACCCTGAAGATGGAGGCGATACGTTCCTCCGAAACGTCGGTTAACATCACATCTACACAGTCCCGCATCCCAGAAGACTGCTTTCTTCATAGTCACCGCCCTGAAAACCTCAAATCTTACATAAACCCAATATTTGTTTCAATGCAGTAAAGTCTCGTTAATCCGGTTACAGTTAATCAAGACAGAAATATGAAAAATGAAAAATGTTATTCGCAGTTGAGTATATAGTTTAAAAGACACAAGACACTAATCAGGATGACCCTCTCCATTCACTCCGTATAACCGAGGGTTTACTGAATATCAGAATCTGTGTTACGTGTGGACTAGATGCACGGGGTAAAATTTTGTGTTTCGTTCTTCTCTGAAATATTACTTCGAAGTATTTTTCGTTCCGATAAATATTTAGCCCGGTTACGCACGGCATAAGTGCATTAACGCATTTGGGGTTTCCTGTAAAAATGACTCTTTCTTGACTGATTTTATTCTAGACTGGTATTCCTGCCCACATTTTCGTGAAACTTAAAAAAAAAAAAGACGATGAAAATTGGTTTGCTGTTTCCTGCTTGTTACATATCTGCGGACAGACAGACATGACCAAGTTATTCACTACACGTCTTCATAGCCTGATTATTAATTTAGAAGAGAGGCAGGTTTCTCTTTGTACTCTCTGGATTGGAAAGAGAGAAAAATACTTTGCGACGCTTCTGTGACTCTGTGTTGAGAGAACCTCTGACTGCAGATTGCCACGTTAAGAACTAGCTTCATCCATCGAGCTGAGTCCTGCTTATGAAGCTGCCAGTCGCTCAGGTACTCAAGAATTTCCCAATATTTCATGGAATTCGAAGGTTCATTACAGTGTTCACAAAAGCCAGATTAATCAATTCCGTATCTTTCCGTCCTATTTTTCTAAGATCCACTTTAATATTGTCGCTTGCATTAGTGCTTTGGATTGGTGAATAAATTTAGTGACTACGTACAGTTCACAACTACAAATACATATAATATTACTGCTGATTTTCACACAAAAAGCACTTCACACTCAGCCTTCTCATCTTACTTTCACTACTTTATTTGGTAACAGCTCTCCACTATGGCTA